ATTTTTCCCCCAAAGCCCCAGTAGATAGTTGTATGTCACAGCTGCACATCCTTCTAGTTGCTGTATGTGGGACACGGCCTCAGCATGGCCAGAGAAGCAGTGCGTTGGTGCACACCCGGGATCTGAACCCGGGCCGCCGGCACCGGAGTGCGTGCACTTAACTGCTAAGCCACGGGGCCAGCCCACAATGGTGATTTTCTAACTTATATTATTCCTTCTTCATTTATTAGCTAGTTTTCTTCGGTAAAGAAGAGCTTTCTATCATCAATTGAGGCTGAATTATAGTTACTCCTAAAAAGGCAGGATAAATATTAATTTTGTTGTCTTTAATTATGAATATTCAGAGTAAGAAATTGGCATAGGAGTCACTTCCAATGGTGACAAAGAGGTTTTTCCCCTTTCTGTAATTTTGTTTAATTTTTTAGTATCACTATAATGGATTTTTATTCATTGTTTTATAATCAGCCATGGTCATTATTTTTGATAGTCAAATTTTCCCAAATATGGCCATTGGGAGCCCCTTCAAGTTGGCCCAATGTTCTTTTGACATGCTTCCTTCCTTGCTTTCTGTCACCAGCTGTCTCAGGTTAACTTTGTACTTTCCCTGGCCCAGACCTGAAATCTGCCATTTCTCCAAGGTACTCTGGTTCCTTTTTATAGGGGGTGATAGATATAAGCCACTATCTGATGCACAGCCACTGGACTAGATTTTAGTGGATTTCAAGCTTTATTTTAAACCATGGATCTTCATTTAAATGAAATCTGTCTCAGGAAGTCACAATGTAAAATAAAGCTTCATCTCTTGAGGAATGTCCTCAGAACCTTGGACTCCACAGGTCGCAGAAGCTCTGTACTATGGAATGGCCACATTTTCTTCCAGCCCCATTGCTCTGGATTCCAGTTTGAGGTTTCAAACCCCACCCACAGGGCTTTGGAGCCTCCTGCCATACTTCCCACTATGTACTTCCTTCCCACACTTCTGACCATGCAAAGGCCTGGTCCTGGCAGGAGAAAGCCCTATAGGCACCTTCTCGTATGTTGAAACCTAATCCCCAATGTGATGGTATTTGGAAGTGGGACTTTGGGAGGTGATTAAGTGAATGCAATGGGGTTATAAAAGAAGCCCCAGAGAGCTCCCTCACTCCTTCCACCAGGTGAAGATACAAGAAGTTGGCAGTCTGAACCGGGAAGAGGGCCTTCACCAAAACCTTGGAACGTGCTGGCACTCTGACTTCTAGGCTCCAGACTGTGAGAAATACATTTCTGTTGTTCATGAGCCACCCAGTTTATAGTATTTTTTTATAGCCCAAACAGACTAAGATAGTATCTGTCTCTCAGTCTGTCATCAAACTTTTGCCTCCTCCCCTTCCTCTTCTCCATAGAATCCATTCTGGTGAGGGCCCCAGTGACCTCCATGATAGCAAATCCCATGGTCAATTCTCAGGCCTCATTTTACTCAGCATCTGTCAGTATCATTTTACAGTTATTCACTCTCTCCTCCATGAAACACTTTCTTCACTTGGTGTCCAGGGGTCCACTATCTTAGTTCTCCTCCTGCCACATCAATAATTCTTTCTCTGTTTTCACCTCACCCACCTCTCAATGGAGGCGTGCCCAGGGCTCAGTCCTTGGATTTCTTCTCTCCTCTGTTCACACTCATTCCCTTAATGGTCACACCTAATTTTGGTTTTAAAAAATCTATGGGCTGAAGACTTCCAAATTTGTGTTTCCAGTCCCAACTTTTCCTCTGAATTCCAGGTTCGTGTATTTAACTGCCTACTTGACATCACATGTCCAAAATCAAATTCCCAAACTTGCTCTGCACCCCCCAGGCTTTTCCCATATCAATATGTGGCAATTCCATTTTTCCAGTTGCTTAAGTTAAAAACCTGGGAGCCAACTTGACACCTCTTTCTCTTATGCCCTATATCTAGTCCGTCAGTAAATCCTGTCACTCAAATGTCACCTAATCAGTGAGGCGTTCCCTGGCCACCCTACGGAAAAAACCAATACACATGCAAACACACATACTCCCTATTCTCCTTACCCGGCCTTATATTTCCCTATAGCATTTATCATCATTTAATATTTTTTGTGTACTTGTTGATTTCCTTATTGTCTCTTTGTCCACCAGAACGTAAACTTCTTAAGATCAGGAACTTTGTCTTATTCACTCACTGCTGTATCCTAGTACCTAGAACAATGTCTGCCACATCTATTAAATATCTGTTGAGTGAATGAAGGAAGGAAGGAAGGAATCTGAGATGAGATGCACCATACAAATGTTAAATTATTAATAAATATTTGTTTAAATGGCAAACAATGATAAGTATTTGTGTATTGTTGATCATTTCAGGGTTCAGGAGAATTTATAAGCTTACTTTTAAAAACAGATACCATATGAACTGTTTCTTGAAATTCTTGAATGGAGTAGAAAAGGAGCAATAGCTTTCTAGTCTCATTACTTCAACCTGCATCCACCTGTTATTTACACCTAACACATTGTTGGCAGTTGATAAGTTTTAATTAAAATGTTTATTAATACAGAAGTAATTTATGATTTGGAGTGTGTTTTCCTACCTGAATTTACATAATGAGCCCTCTGTGTCTTATTAGAGTAAAGTGCAGAACAGTTAGAGCATCGTGGCAGCCC